ATGATGATGGTTGTGATGATGATGATGATGATGGTTGTGATGATGATGATGGTTGTGATGATGGTTGTGATGATGATGATGGTTGTGATGATGGTTGTGATGATGATGATGGTTGTGATGATGATGATGATGATGATGATGGTAGTGATGGTGATGATGGTGATGATGATGATGGTTGTGATGATGATGATGATGATGGTTGTGATGATGGTGATGACGATAGTGATGATGATGATGATGATGATGATGACGATAGTGATGATGGTGATGACGATAGTGATGATGATAGTGATGATGGTGGTGATGGTGATGATGATGATGACGATAGTGATGATGATGATGGTGATGATGATGATGGTGATAGTGATGATGATGGTTGTGATGATGATGATGATGATGGTTGTAATGATGATGATGATAGTGATGATAGTGATGATGGTGGTGATGGTGATGATGATGATGATGATGGTAGTGATGATGGTTGTGATGATGAAGAAGAAGATTTACTTTATTGATCCCCGTGAGGGGAAATTTCAGTTTTTACACTCTGTACTCATGCAACACACACATAGGCTGAAGTATATACATACATGCACTTGAACCGGTGACCCTCCGGTTCCCAACCCAAGTCCCTACAGACTGAGCTACTGCCGCCCATGATGATGGTGGTGGTGATGATGGTGATGGTGATGGTGATGATGATGGTTGTGAGGATGATGATGATGGTGGTGATGATGATGGTTGTAATGATGATGATGGTGATGATGGTGATGATGATGATGATGGTGATGATGATGGTGATGATGATGGTGATGATGATGATGATGGTGGTGATGATGATGGTTGTAATGATGATGATGGTGATGATGGTGATGATGATGATGATGGTGATGATGATGGTGATGATGATGGTGATGATGATGGTGATGATGATGGTTGTAATGATGATGATGGTGATGATGGTGATGATGATGATGATGGTGATGATGATGGTGATGATGATGGTGATGATGATGATGATGGTGATGATGATGGTTGTAATGATGATGATGGTGATGATGGTGGTGATGATGGTGAGTATGATGATGATGGTGATGATGATGGTGAGGGTAAGGGTGATGATGATGATGATGGTGAGGGTGAGGATGATGATTGTGATGATGATGGTGAGGGTGAGGATGATGATGGTGATGGTGATGATGATGGTGGTGATGTTTCAGGGTTGCAGTGTGATGTGGAGGACAACGTTTTGTTCCATCCTGTCGTACAGGAGGAACTTACCAACCCAAAGAATGGTGACTCCGCCCACAAACACCTGAAGCAGCAGGTAGAGTCTTGAACACACCTAAACAACGTAGTATTGAACTCTGAAGCAGTGTCACAGTGTCATGTGACCTCTCCCTTTCTTTGGTTTAGTTTAACCAGGTAACCAAAGTTAACCTTCCTTCTTCTCCTTCTCTCTCCACTGTGGTCGACAGAGCGCCCCCTTCAGGCCTGGAGCTTGTCTTAGTGCTCATGTTTTTGGATCTGTGTGTTTTTGATTGGTTCCTGTATCTGAAGCTGTTTGATGTTACATTTTATTAACATTCTGCACGTTTTTCTTAATGTACGCCTTTTCACCTGTCAGGTGTGTTCAGTCCTCTATCTTAGGTCATCTGGAGACACGGGGGTTGCTGGGAAGGGGGCGGTGCTTCATAGAGTTTGGAGCAGGTCGAGGGAAACTGTCTCACTGGATCCATGAAGCCCTGAAGACCCCAGACTTCCTGAAGTCCCCAGACCTCCTGCTGACCCAGGGTGACCTTCAGATGCTGCTGGTGGAGCGATCCAGTACTCGCTTCAAGGTAAGAAAAACCTTTGAAACCCCCCCCCCCCCCCCCCCCCCCAGATGTCTGATCTAAGGGCAGCATCATGATACCCTAATCTGGTCTGTTCTGGTTCTGGTTCAGGTAGATGGGAAACATCAGGATCCTGGTGTCCAGTTTGAGCGGCTGCAGGTGGACATTCAACACCTGGACTTAGGTAAGACCCCCTCATCAGGGTCCTGAGTCAGCAGCTGTGTTTCAGTTCTGTCTTTAGTTCTGGTGTATAGTCCAAACTAAACCCTACATGTAAACTACTTAACTTAAGCTGTGTCATTGTTTGGTTACCATGGAGACGTAAGGTTCATCTTCACTAGCAGAGCGTAGTGTCCAAACTAACCAAAACAAAGTGTAAGAAATGAGGTTTGTACCTGATGTGACCAATCACAGAGCAGCGTTTGTCTCCTCTCGTGTCTGATCGTCTCTGAATGTGACCAATCACAGAGCAGCGTTTGTCTCCTCTCGTGTCTGATCGTCTCTGAATGTGACCAATCACAGAGCAGCGTTTGTCTCCTCTCGTGTCTGATCGTCTCTGAACAGATGATCGTCCAAAATAACTTCTGTTCACTGATGTTCATCCACAAACATAAACTCTAATGTTTGTACGAGCTGAGCTTCATGATGAGGGGAGAACTGAAGCCTACAGATCCTTCAACTGGTGAACAATAACAAAAGTGACCTCTAGTGGTGACATCTGTAACTACAACATCAGGTCATTTAATGGTCCTCTGTGATTGGACGACAAAATGATCTGAGCTCATGGTAAACTACAGCAGGAGTCAAAACAAAGTCATCAAACATTTCTGAGGGACGTAATCGATCACACTGCTGTTACCATGACAACCAGTAAAAACCCTCTGCTCCTCCTCCTCCAACCTATCACACCTTTAGAACAACATCACCATGACAACCATGTTTTACAGAGGATGTCACACCTACTAGTGAAACACCTGACATGTTAGGAGAGCGTAAACTCCGTCCTGAAATAGAGATTACGTTCAAACTAGACCAGGACTGAACCTACACAGAGCTGGACTCTGGTTCTGGTCTGACTGTGGTTGTTTGCAGGTCGGGTCCAGATGCTGCAACTGAAAAAGCTCCCTCTGGTTGGCGTGGGGAAACACCTGTGTGGAGCAGCAACAGGTGAGATCTAACTGCTGACAGGTCTGATTCGGACTCCTCCGACCCGGATTAATGGTCCTTGTGTCTGCTTCAGATCTGGCTCTAAGATGTTTGTTGGGGGCTCCAAGACCAAAAGACGGGACTGAGCCGCCCCCTAAACGCCTGAAAACCTCAGAACCAGAATCAACTGATCAGATGTCTGAGTCAGGAGCACTACCTGGTCCTGGTCCTGGTCCTGGTCCTGGTCCTGTACTGGGTCTGGCTGTGGCTCTCTGCTGCCACCATCGGTGCGAGTGGCGTCACTACGTGGGTCAGCAGTTCTTCCTGCAGCAAGGACTCGGAGCTGAAGAGTTCTCAGCTTTTTGTCGGATGTCCAGCTGGGCGACATGTGGTCTCAGACCGACCAATCAAGAACATCGGCTTCAGGATACAACCAATCTGAGAGGAGATGATGAAGAGCATGAACCAGCCGAGGAGACAGATGCTGTGAACAGGTAGCTATTTGACCACTGACCCCATCATGCTGACGTTCCTGGTCAGTCGAAACTTTAAAAAGACATGTTCTCTCCATGTGTTCCTCATGTTCTCTCCATATGTTCCTCATGTTCCTCGTCTTCTCTCCATGTGTTCCTCATGTTCTCTCCATGTGTTCCTCATGTTCCTCGTCTTCTCTCCATGTGTTCCTCGTCTTCTCTCCATGTGTTCCTCATGTTCTCTCCATGTGTTCCTCATGTTCTCTCCATGTGTTCCTCATGTTCTCTCCATGTGTTCCTCATGTTCTCTCCATGTGTTCCTCGTCTTCTCTCCATGTGTTCCTCGTCTTCTCTCCATGTGTTCCTCATGCTCTCTCCATGTGTTCATGTTCTCTCCATGTGTTCCTCGTCTTCTCTCCATGTGTTCCTCATCTTCTCTCCATGTGTTCATGTTCTCTCCATGTGTTCCTCATGTTCTCTCCATGTGTTCCTCATGTTCTCTCCATGTGTTCCTCATGTTCTCTCCATGTGTTCCTCATGTTCTCTCCATGTGTTCCTCATGTTCTCTCCATGTGTTCCTCGTCTTCTCTCCATGTGTTCCTCATCTTCTCTCCATGTGTTCCTCATGCTCTCTCCATGTGTTCATGTTCTCTCCATGTGTTCCTCGTCTTCTCTCCATGTGTTCCTCATCTTCTCTCCATGTGTTCATGTTCTCTCCATGTGTTCCTCATGTTGTTGTTGTTTCCTCTGTAGCTTTCTGTCGTCCTCTGAGCGCGAGAAGATCGGGCGTCTCTGTAAGCTTCTGATTGATGGCGGCAGACTTCACTTCCTGCAGACGAGAGGATTTGACGGTAGACTGTGTCGTTACGTGGATACTCAGGTGACGCTGGAGAACATGCTGCTGACGGCTGTCCCCTCGTCTCCGTCCTGAACGACACACTGTCCCTGGAACAGTTTTTAATTTGTTTTGACAGAAAACCACAAAATGGAGTCATTTGGATTTTTATAAAGTTTTTTTATTAAAGGTCCACATGCTCAGTTTGATTGTTCTCATTGTGATTGTTCTCAGTGTGATTGTTCTCTGTGTGATTGATTGTTCTCAGTGTGATTGTTCTCAGTTTAATTGTTCTCATTGAGATTGTTCTCAGTTTGATTGTTCTCAGTGTGATTGTTCTCTGTGTGATTGATTGTTCTCAGTGTGATTGTTCTCAGTTTGATTGTTCTCATTGTGATTGTTCTCAGTGTGATTGTTCTCAGTTTGATTGTTCTCATTGTGATTGTTCTCAGTGTGATTGTTCTCTCTGTGATTGTTCTCAGTTTGATTGTTCTCTGTGTGATTGTTCTCATATGATTGTTCTGTGATTGTTCTCAGTGTGATTGTTCTGTGTGATTGTTCTCTGTATGATTGTATCAGTGTGATTGTTCTGTGTAATTGTTCTCTGTATGATTGTTCTCAGTGTGACTGTTCTCAGTTTGATTGTTCTGTGTGATTGTTCTCATGTGATTGTTCTGTGTGATTGTTCTTTGTGTGTTTCTTCTCAGTGTGATTGTTCTCAGTTTGATTGTTCTCATTGTGATTGTTCTCAGTTTGATTGTTCTCAGTTTGATTGTTCTCAGTGTGGTTGTTCTCAGTGTGATTGTTCTCATTGTGATTGTTCTGTGTGATTGTTCTCTGTATGATTGTTCTCAGTGTGATTGTTCTCTGTATTATTGTTCTCAGTGTGATCTCTGTATGATTGTTTTCAGTGTGATTGTTCTCAGTGAACGACACACTGTCCCTGGAACAGTTTTTAATTTGTTTTGACAGAAAACCACAAAATGGAGTCATTTGAATTTTTGTAAAGTTTTTTTATTAAAGGTCCACATGCTCAGTTTGATTGTTCTCAGTGTGATTGATTGTTCTCAGTGTGATTGTTCTCTGTGTGATTGTTCTCAGTTTGATTGTTCTCATTGTGATTGTTCTGTGTGATTGATTGTTCTCAGTGTGATTGTTCTCAGTTTAATTGTTCTCATTGTGATTGTTCTCAGTGTGATTGTTCTGTTTAATTGTTCTCATTGTGATTGTTCTCAGTGTGATTGTTCTCAGTTTGATTGTTCTCATTGTGATTGTTCTCGTGATTGTTCTGTGATTGTTCTCTGTGTGATTGTTCTCAGTGTGATTGTTCTGTGATTGTTCTCTGTGTGATTGATTGTTCTCAGTGTGATTGTTCTCAGTTTGATTGTTCTCAGTGTGATTGTTCTCAGTGTGATTGTTCTCAGTTTGATTGTTCTCATTGTGATTGTTCTCGTGATTGTTCTGTGATTGTTCTCTGTGTGATTGTTCTCAGTGTGATTGTTCTGTGTGATTGTTCTCTGTATGATTGTTCTCAGTGTGATTGTTCTCTGTATGATTGTTCTGTGTGATTGTTCTCAGTGTGATTGTTCTGTGTGATTCTTCTGTGTGATTCTTCTTAGTGTGATTGTTCTCAGTGTGATCTCTGTATGTTTGTTCTCAGTGTGATTGTTCTCTGTGATTGTTCTCTTTGTGATTGTTCTCTTTGTGATTGCTCTAGGTGTGATTGTTCTCAGTGTGATTGTTCTAGGTGTGATTGTTCTCAGTGTGATTGTTCTCAGTGAACTAATGAAAGCGTTAGCACAAAGTTCTCTTCTTCTCATGATTTAACATCTCTGAAATGAACATCTAAAAGTGTCTCTACAGAAAACAGAAGAATCTTCTCTAATTTCAAAACGTGTAGCTGAGCTCTGATGGAAAAGTCCAGAAGAAGAAGAGCAGCGATTATTTTATTGTGAAGTCGTCGTTTGGCTCTGAAACAGAAACATGACGTCAGATTATCAGAGTAAGAACACAATTTATTTTCAATAATAATGATTATTAAATGTTGTTACGTGTTAATGTGAATAACCCAAGGAGAAATGTTGTCAGAAAAAAACAGGAAGTCATGCAAAGAGTTTCCCAACCTGCGGGTGTGGGCCCCTGTGAGGGTCACGTCAGGAGTAAGGCGTGTTTGGAGACTTTCCTCGTTGTGTAACAGATTCCAGAAGGATTTAATCGTCTGCAGCGCTCAGACTCTAATGAACCAACACTTTATATGAAACTCCTCACATGAACTCTAGAAACAAGACTCTGCTGAGTCTGTCATTTAAAACACACCTGAACAGGTGAGTCATTCGGAACCTTCTGCTCCTTGTTAGTCCTCCCAACCAGGACCAGAACCTGAGCCCTGCTCAGACTGTGATGTCATCTGATGACAGCAGAGCTGTGCACACTGCAGTTAATCCAGAAGACTTTTTTTTATGTGGACGTTAATTTGAAAAACTATTATTAAAACTCTTCACTTCCAGTTTTAGTTCCTGTTAACATTCAAACTCCGCATGATGAGAACCACCTGAGCAGCAGCATAGCGCTCCCTGTACTTTAGAGAGCTGAAGGCTGCGGTCCTCTTAAGAACTCGCATCTAATGACAAACAGCTGTTGCTGTTGTTGATTTTTGATTACACCGGTGTTACGGTTCAAAAAGTGACTGTGTTAAGTGGTGACTTTTGGTTGTCGTGGTTGCAGATGTTGAAGACAGAAAGTTATTTTGATCGTCATGTCTAAAACACCATCATATATATATGTTACCATGACAACCACAGATGCATTCAGCTGAGTCACCAGTCAACACGGTCACTCTTTGAAGCGTACCACCGGTGGACGTTAATATGAACTTCAGTTAATGATTAAATAACTGATTAACTCTTTGACTGCTCCAACATTTGTGCAGGTGTTTATGAAGCAAGGAGGCTCTCATAAAAGACTACCCTGCTGCATCATGGGAAGCGTAGTATCTGGTGTTTGAGGCTTTCTTTCTTCTATGTATCATGTAGCTCAGCTGCAGCTCAGGGTGACATCTTCATTTATCTGAAAACATCACACACACTTTAATGATGAACAGTTGCAATGATTTCCTCTCTGCTTCTTGATCACTTTGATTAAAGAGATAGTACACACAGCTCATGAAGAGGGAATACTTTCACACTGAGCCTAAAGGAGGGAGCATATTCTCAGGCTGAAGAGGACGCCGCATTTATATGTATCAGTTAAATCATGGCGGTTAATGTTGGAGGTCATGATGAGACTCTTGCTGCTGTGAAAATGTCTAATTTATGAAAATAAAGCGGGCTAATCCCCCCTGAGAGCGCACACAGTTACAGAGAGGAAGTGTTTTACAGTGCACACAGTTACAGAGGAGAAGTGTTTTACAGTGCACACAGTTACAGAGGGGAAGTGTTTTACAGTGCACACAGTTACAGAGAGGAAGTGTTTTACAGTGCACACAGTTACAGAGGTGAAGTGTTTTACAGCGCACACAGTTACAGAGGGGAAGTGTTTTACAGTGCACACAGTTACAGAGGAGAAGTGTTTTACAGTGCACACAGTTACAGAGAGGAAGTGTTTTACAGTGTTTTACAGTGCACACAGTTACAGAGGGAAGTGTTTTACAGTGTTTTACAGTGCACACAGTTACAGAGGGGAAGTGTTTTACAGTGCACACAGTTACAGAGAGGAAGTGTTTTACAGTGCACACAGTTACAGAGGGGAAGTGTTTTACAGTGCACACAGTTACAGAGGGGAAGTGTTTTACAGTGCACACAGTTACAGAGGGGAAGTGTTTTACAGTGCACACAGTTACAGAGGGGAAGTGTTTTACAGCGCACACCGTTACAGAGGGGAAGTGTTTTACAGTGCACACCGTTACAGCGGTGAAGTGTTTTACAGTGCACACAGTTACAGAGGTGAAGTGTTTTACAGTGTTTTACAGTGTTTTACAGTGTTTTACAGCGCACACAGTTACAGAGGGGAAGTGTTTTACAGTGCACACCGTTACAGCGGTGAAGTGTTTTACAGTGCACACAGTTACAGAGGTGAAGTGTTTTACAGTGTTTTACAGTGTTTTACAGCGCACACAGTTACAGAGGGGAAGTGTTTTACAGTGCACACAGTGACAGAGGGGAAGTGTTTTACAGTGTTTTACAGCGCACACAGTTACAGAGGGGAAGTGTTTTACAGTGCACACAGTTACAGAGGGGAAGTGTTTTACAGTGCACACAGTTACAGAGGTGAAGTGTTTTACAGTGCACACAGTTACAGAGGGGAAGTGTTTTACAGCGCACACAGTTACAGAGGGGAAGTGTTTTACAGCGCACACAGTTACAGAGGGGAAGTGTTTTACAGTGCACACAGTTACAGAGGGGAAGTGTTTTACAGTGCACACAGTTACAGAGGGGAAGTGTTTTACAGCGCACACCGTGTTTTACAGCGCACACCGTGACAGAGGGGAAGTGTTTTACAGTGCACACAGTGTTTTACAGCGCACACCGTGACAGAGGGGAAGTGTTTTACAGTGCACACAGTTACAGAGGTGAAGTGTTTTACAGTGTTTTACAGCGCACACAGTTACAGAGGTGAAGTGTTTTACAGTGCACACAGTTACAGAGGGGAAGTGTTTTACAGTGCACACAGTTACAGAGGGGAAGTGTTTTACAGCGCACACAGTTACAGAGGGGAAGTGTTTTACAGTGCACACAGTTACAGAGGGGAAGTGTTTTACAGTGCACACAGTTACAGAGGTGAAGTGTTTTACAGTGCACACAGTTACAGAGGGGAAGTGTTTTACAGTGCACACAGTTACAGAGGGGAAGTGTTTTACAGTGCACACAGTTACAGAGGGGAAGTGTTTTACAGCGCACACAGTTACAGAGGGGAAGTGTTTTACAGTGCACACAGTTACAGAGGGGAAGTGTTTTACAGCACACACCGTTACAGCGGTGAAGTGTTTTACAGTGTTTTACAGCGCACACAGTTACAGAGGGGAAGTGTTTTACAGTGTTTTACAGCGCACACAGTTACAGAGGGGAAGTGTTTTACAGCGCACACAGTTACAGAGGGGAAGTGTTTTACAGCGCACACAGTGTTTTACAGTGCACAGTTTCTGATACTAACGGTTGACACAGTGCATATTGAGCATGGCGTACGCTCGCTTCCTGGACTCCCGGATGTACATCAGCATGAACTCTCGTCCAAACATTTCTCTGTCGTCTTCTTCATCGTCCTCCTCGTCCTCATGCTTCACCGCCCGACATGGCAGCGTCACGTCCAGAGTCAGAGGGTTGTCCCGAAAATTCACAAACCTGTTCGGACAGAAACACAAACCGGATCAGTCTGAGGGACGACACTTTGAATTATTTATTTATGAAAACAAAAATAATCTGCTGCCAGATGACAAGTCAGGATTTACACACTGAGGTCGGACTGACCTGATGACTTGTTGACTGACCTGATGACTTGTTGACTGACCTGATGACTTGTTGACTGACCTGATGACTTGTTGACTGACCTGATGATGACTTGTTGACTGACCTGATGACTTGTTGACTGACCTGATGACTTGTTGACTGACCTGATGATGACTTGTTGACTGACCTGGTGACTTGTTGACTGACCTGATGACTTGTTGACTGACCTGATGACTTGTTGACTGACCTGATGATGACTTGTTGACTGACCTGATGACTTGTTGACTGACCTGATGATGACTTGTTGACTGACCTGATGACTTGTTGACTGACCTGATGATGACTTGTTGACTGACCTGATGTGACTTGTTGACTGACCTGGTGACTTGTTGACTGACCTGATGATGACTTGTTGACTGACCTGATGACTTGTTGACTGACCTGGTGACTTGTTGACTGACCTGATGACTTGTTGACTGACCTGATGACTTGTTGACTGACCTGATGATGACTTGTTGACTGACCTGATGACTTGTTGACTGACCTGATGATGACTTGTTGACTGACCTGGTGACTTGTTGACTGACCTGATGACTTGTTGACTGACCTGATGACTTGTTGACTGACCTGATGACTTGTTGACTGACCTGATGTGACTTGTTGACTGACCTGGTGACTTGTTGACTGACCTGATGACTTGTTGACTGACCTGATGATGACTTGTTGACTGACCTGGTGACTTGTTGACTGACCTGGTGACTTGTTGACTGACCTGATGATGACTTGTTGACTGACCTGATGATGACTTGTTGACTGACCTGATGACTTGTTGACTGACCTGATGACTTGTTGACTGACCTGGTGACTTGTTGACTGACCTGATGATGACTTGTTGACTGACCTGGTGACTTGTTGACTGACCTGATGACTTGTTGACTGACCTGATGACTTGTTGACTGACCTGGTGACTTGTTGACTGACCTGATGACTTGTTGACTGACCTGATGACTTGTTGACTGACCTGATGACTTGTTGACTGACCTGGTGACTTGTTGACTGACCTGATGACTTGTTGACTGACCTGATGACTTGTTGACTGACCTGATGATGACTTGTTGACTGACCTGATGACTTGTTGACTGACCTGATGTGACTTGTTGACTGACCTGATGACTTGTTGACTGACCTGATGACTTGTTGACTGACCTGATGACTTGTTGACTGACCTGGTGACTTGTTGACTGACCTGATGATGACTTGTTGACTGACCTGATGACTTGTTGACTGACCTGATGACTTGTTGACTGACCTGATGACTTGTTGACTGACCTGATGATGACTTGTTGACTGACCTGATGACTTGTTGACTGACCTGCTGATGACTTGTTGACTGACCTGATGACTTGTTGACTGACCTGATGACTTGTTGACTGACCTGATGACTTGTTGACTGACCTGATGATGACTTGTTGACTGACCTGATGATGACTTGTTGACTGACCTGATGACTTGTTGACTGACCTGATGACTTGTTGACTGACCTGATGTGACTTGTTGACTGACCTGATGATGACTTGTTGACTGACCTGATGACTTGTTGACTGACCTGATGACTTGTTGACTGACCTGGTGACTTGTTGACTGACCTGATGACTTGTTGACTGACCTGATGACTTGTTGACTGACCTGATGACTTGTTGACTGACCTGATGATGACTTGTTGACTGACCTGATGACTTGTTGACTGACCTGATGACTTGTTGACTGACCTGATGACTTGTTGACTGACCTGATGACTTGTTGACTGACCTGATGATGACTTGTTGACTGACCTGATGATGACTTGTTGACTGACCTGATGACTTGTTGACTGACCTGATGACTTGTTGACTGACCTGATGACTTGTTGACTGACCTGATGACTTGTTGACTGACCTGGTGACTTGTTGACTGACCTGATGACTTGTTGACTGACCTGATGATGACTTGTTGACTGACCTGGTGACTTGTTGACTGACCTGGTGACTTGTTGACTGACCTGATGACTTGTTGACTGACCTGATGATGACTTGTTGACTGACCTGATGACTTGTTGACTGACCTGATGATGACTTGACTGACCTGATGACTTGTTGACTGACCTGATGACTTGTTGACTGACCTGATGACTTGTTGACTGACCTGATGATGACTTGTTGACTGACCTGATGACTTGTTGACTGACCTGATGACTTGTTGACTGACCTGATGATGACTTGTTGACTGACCTGGTGACTTGTTGACTGACCTGGTGACTTGTTGACTGACCTGATGACTTGTTGACTGACCTGATGATGACTTGTTGACTGACCTGATGACTTGTTGACTGACCTGATGACTTGTTGACTGACCTGGTGACTTGTTGACTGACCTGATGATGACTTGTTGACTGACCTGGTGACTTGTTGACTGACCTGATGACTTGTTGACTGACCTGATGATGACTTGTTGACTGACCTGGTGACTTGTTGACTGACCTGGTGACTTGTTGACTGACCTGATGACTTGTTGACTGACCTGATGACTTGTTGACTGACCTGATGATGACTTGTTGACTGACCTGGTGACTTGTTGACTGACCTGATGATGACTTGTTGACTGACCTGATGATACTTGTTGACTGACCTGATGACTTGTTGACTGACCTGATGACTTGTTGACTGACCTGGTGACTTGTTGACTGACCTGATGATGACTTGTTGACTGACCTGATGACTTGTTGACTGACCTGGTGACTTGTTGACTGACCTGGTGACTTGTTGACTGACCTGATGATGACTTGTTGACTGACCTGATGACTTGTTGACTGACCTGATGATGACTTGTTGACTGACCTGATGACTTGTTGACTGACCTGATGATGACTTGTTGACTGACCTGGTGACTTGTTGACTGACCTGCTGATGACTTGTTGACTGACCTGATGACTTGTTGACTGACCTGATGACTTGTTGACTGACCTGATGACTTGTTGACTGACCTGATGATGACTTGTTGACTGACCTGATGATGACTTGTTGACTGACCTGGTGACTTGTTGACTGACCTGATGACTTGTTGACTGACCTGGTGACTTGTTGACTGACCTGATGATGACTTGTTGACTGACCTGATGACTTGTTGACTGACCTGGTGACTTGTTGACTGACCTGGTGACTTGTTGACTGACCTGATGACTTGTTGACTGACCTGATGATGACTTGTTGACTGACCTGATGACTTGTTGACTGACCTGATGATGACTTGTTGACTGACCTGGTGACTTGTTGACTGACCTGCTGGTGACTTGTTGACTGACCTGGTGACTTGTTGACTGACCTGGTGACTTGTTGACTGACCTGGTGACTTGTTGACTGACCTGATGACTTGTTGACTGACCTGATGATGACTTGTTGACTGACCTGATGATGACTTGTTGACTGACCTGATGACTTGTTGACTGACCTGATGACTTGTTGACTGACCTGATGACTTGTTGACTGACCTGGTGACTTGTTGACTGACCTGATGATGACTTGTTGACTGACCTGGTGACTTGTTGACTGACCTGATGACTTGTTGACTGACCTGATGATGACTTGTTGACTGACCTGGTGACTTGTTGACTGACCTGATGACTTGTTGACTGACCTGGTGACTTGTTGACTGACCTGATGATGACTTGTTGACTGACCTGGTGACTTGTTGACTGACCTGATGACTTGTTGACTGACCTGATGATGACTTGTTGACTGACCTGGTGACTTGTTGACTGACCTGGTGACTTGTTGACTGACCTGATGACTTGTTGACTGACCTGATGATGACTTGTTGACTGACCTGGTGACTTGTTGACTGACCTGATGATGACTTGTTGACTGACCTGCTGATGACTTGTTGACTGACCTGATGACTTGTTGACTGACCTGATGACTTGTTGACTGACCTGGTGACTTGTTGACTGACCTGATGATGACTTGTTGACTGACCTGATGACTTGTTGACTGACCTGGTGACTTGTTGACTGACCTGGTGACTTGTTGACTGACCTGATGATGACTTGTTGACTGACCTGGTGACTTGTTGACTGACCTGGTGACTTGTTGACTGACCTGATGATGACTTGTTGACTGACCTGATGACTTGTTGACTGACCTGATGACTTGTTGACTGACCTGGTGACTTGTTGACTGACCTGATGATGACTTTTGACTGACCTGGTGACTTGTTGACTGACCTGATGATGACTTGTTGACTGACCTGATGACTTGTTGACTGACCTGATGACTTGTTGACTGACCTGGTGACTTTTTGACTGACCTGATGACTTGTTGACTGACCTGGTGACTTGTTGACTGACCTGGTGACTTGTTGACTGACCTGATGACTTGTTGACTGACCTGGTGACTTGTTGACTGACCTGATGATGACTTGTTGACTGACCTGGTGACTTGTTGACTGACCTGGTGATTTGTTGACTGACCTGATGATGACTTGTTGACTGACCTGATGACTTGTTGACTGACCTGGTGACTTGTTGACTGACCTGAGGTTGGACATGTCCTCCATCAGAGGAGGGATGTCTCTGAGTTGGTTGCTGCTGAGGACTAGAGTGTCGAGTCGAGTCATCCTGCTGATGCCGTCGGGGAGTCTCTCGAGTCGGTTCCTCTGCAGCCACAGCGTGTGCAGCTTCTCCATCCTGAGGACAGACACGTCTCTCTGTTCATTGGCTGATTGCAGGAGGGGGCGGGGCACATGTGTCTCCCTCACTCACCTGTCTATGTCTTCAGGTAAGTGCTCCAGCTGGTTTCCTCCCATGTCGAGCCACTCGAGTGCGGGCAGAGAGACCACGCAGTCCGGTACGCAGGTGAAGTCATTCATGGACAGGTCCAGGTGATGCAGGTTCTTCAGGCGCATCAGCTGATCCACAGAACACAATCAGGTCTACAGGTCTACAGGTAACAAAGGTGTGCCAGGTTCACACCTGGTTCTGAAGCTGGTTCAGGATTCAGGTGTTTGCCCTGAAGTAAACCAGTTCAGGAAATATACTCTATATCAAGATAGGCAGAGCAACAGCTGCCAGAGTATTCAGAGCTGCTGACTGGCTGGAGTATAGGTCATAAGCTCCGCCTCCTCCATGTTAACAGATGGGACATGAGTCAAACTACACCTTAAAATATGTCAGATTAATGTTTCTCTGTTTTCTGTGATTATACGTCTTAACTTAAATGGTGGTCTGAGGGGGGCAGTTTGGAAGGAGGGGTCTGAAAGGGGGATCAGAGGGGGCGTTTGGGAGGGAGGGGTCTGAGGTTGCGGTGTACCTGGTCAGGTAGCTGGTTCAGGTCTCGGTTCATGGCCAGCTCCAGTCTCTCCAGACTCTCACAGCCGCTCAGCTCCACAGGAACAAAGCCCACTCTGTTGTAGCTCAGCAGGAGCTCCCTGAGCCGGGTCAGACTCCCTGAGACCGGAACCAGAGGTCAGACATCGATCAGGGTCCTTGTGTGTATCTAAAGTGTGTATCTGAGTAACTGACCAATCTGTGGGGGGATCTCAGTGACGCCGTTCCGGGACAGGTCTAAAACCAGAAGGTTCTGGAAGCTTGAGATGAAGTGAGGGATCTTCTGGAGTCCAGTCCGGTGGATCTGCCACTCCTGAACCTGGCTGAGTTGGACCAGACAGCCAGGCAACACCTGAGGGGAGGGGGGTCCGAAAGTGTAAAACAGTAGCAGTAACCTGTGTAGTCCACTTCCTGTTGGGAGACATTACCTTCCAGTCCTCATGTTCCAGTCGGAGGATCAGGCGCCCGTCTTCAGTCTGCAGCTTCTGTTTGAGCCGAGCCAGAACCGCCCGGTCCTCCCAGACCCCGACACCCAGCCTGAACCAGGACCACACGAGACAGAAACACAACATCACAATGTTCAAAAACTGTTTTGAGTCCACATTTTCTTTTGAAAGAGAGAGCATGACGTGTGTCTCTTCTTAACTAATTATTAAAACAGCTCAATCTTCACTTCCTGTTGTCTTAACCAATGAAATAAGCTCCCAGCAGAGGAGGGCAGAGCCTGACCTGCCTGTAGCCCCGCCCCTTGCCGTCCTGCTCCTCTGATCTTCCTTCTCCTGTTTTATCTTGTTGATCCTCGTCTCCCACAGAGCTTTGATGGAGCTCACTGAGCCGCACGCCACCAAGCCCACCATGATGACCACTTCCTGTCAGACGGGTAGGGTTAGTCACAGCTCACAGGTGGACAGGTAGGATGAGCTCTGACCTTTGACCTGCAGCTGTGTCCTCCCTCCCAACATCCTGTTTGATTGAAAACGATCACATTAATAAACTGACCACATTTCAATTAAAGGAGGAAGCTGAAGGTTACACCGTGTCGATACCAGCATGGAGATGAAAACAGAAGTCCTTGGCGCCATTATCGGGTAATTTGACGTTTTTTGTTATGGGGGCTTTGTGTGTCTTTAATGTAGAGATAGGACAGATAGTCCAAGTTGCACAAATATGTTGGCAACGTTTGGAAAAGTGGGAGGGGCCTCGTTCTTCCTCTCTTACTGTCGCGACTATCGGTTAAAAAGGTCTGAAACGTTTTATAAAACATGAGATATCAAGTATCCAAAATCATAAACACCTTTAATTAACCTGTTAAATATTACATTACACTCTTCATGTGTTTGATTCCAACATGTTGTCACAGATTTTAGAAGGAGCAGGACACACACACACACACACACACACACACACACACACACACACAGTATCTAGTCTCAGTATGCAGTCATTCTGAGTGTTGTCAGTATAAGAGGTTAGTACGGTTAGTGACAGTAAAAGTTAACATGTTAGTGTTTCAGTGTTCACCTTGTGTTTTGGCAGCAGCAGCTGTAGTCGTCCATGCTGCGTCTCTGCAGCTGAAATCTGACCTCAGACCTCCTGGGTAATTATAGCATCCAGGTCACATGACCCAACACACAGTCGCATGACACCCTGGTATCAGCGCAAACAGTGGTGGGGGAGGCTATATTTTATATACACAGTATATATTGTATGTATATATAATATTTATATAAACAAAAGTTTGTTGTAATGTACTGTGGGAGGTAGAGCCTTCAGTTATCAGACCTGCTCATGATACAGTCTCTAAATGTTCTATGGGAGGTAGAGCTTCAGTTATCAGACCTGCTCGTGGTACCTACAGTCTCTAAATGTTCTATGGGAGGTAGAGCCTTCAGTTATCAGACCTGCTCATGATACAGTCTCTAAATGTACTATGGGAGGTAGAGCCTTCAGTTATCAGACCTGCTCGTGGTACCTACAGTCTCTAAATGTTCTATGGGAGGTAGAGCCTTCAGTTATCAGACCTGCTCATGATACAGTCTCTAAATGTACTATGGGAGGTAGAGCCTTCAGTTATCAGACCTGCTCATGGTACAGTCTCTAAATGTACTATGGGAGGTAGAGCCTTCAGTTATCAGACCTGCTCGTGGTACCGATAGTCTCTAAATGTTCTATGGGAGGTAGAGCCTTCAGTTATCAGACCTGCTCATGATACAGTCTCTAAATGTACTATGGGAGGTAGAGCCTTCAGTTATCAGACCTGCTCATGATACAGTCTCTAAATGTACTATGGGAGGTAGAGCCTTCAGTTATCAGACCTGCTCATGATACAGTCTCTAAATGTACTATGGGAGGTAGAGCCTTCAGTTATCAGACCTGCTCATGATACAGTCTCTAAATGTACTATGGGAGGTAGAGCCTTCAGTTATCAGACCTGCTCGTGGTACCTACAGTCTCTAAATGTACTATGGGAGGTAGAGCCTTCAGTTATCAGACCTGCTCGTGGTACAGTCTCTAAATGTACTATGGGAGGTAGAGCCTTCAGTTATCAGGCCTGCTCGTGGTACAGTCTCTAAATGTACTATGGGAGGTAGAGCCTTCAGCTATCAGGCTCCTCCCCTCCTATTTTCTGTCTCTTATAATTTTTAAACTCTATTGAGAACCCGCTTCAGGTATTAACTTGTTCTCTTTACAGAATCAACGACCAGCTTATCAACGTTAAAACAGTAAAACTAATAAAACAAACTCTTCAAACTTTTCATGTTTGTGCACGTCAACTTTATTTAAAGTTTTTCATCAAACCGTTTCTCATCTACACAATCCCAAAATACAAAACCAACAGTTCATTTTATACTCTGACATTTAGTCTGTCGCTAAAAACAAACAAACAAACATGTAACATCAGACTAACAGTGTGTACTCATTACCCAGCAGCCCCCTGGACCAGGGAGACCAGGACAGAGAGCTGAAACACTCCCCTGAACTTTATTTATTCATCATGTGACCTCAGAGGGGAAAATAGTCTGTTTTAATGTTCATGAGTTTGTCTGCAGGTTTAGGAAATTAAAAAGAAATGACTCGATGTCAGGCGTCTGGGACTTCTGTATTTGTTGTCGTTTCATCCAAACAACTATAGATAACCTTTGATTTCTACTGGACACATTTTAAAGGTCAAAAGTCTGATATCGTGACACCCTTGGTATGAACATTTGAACACGTCTCTGTAACGAGGGTTAGAGTTAGCTGTGACATCAGTTTAGCCTGCGGGGGGGCGACAGACCCGTCTTCAGGTGTTCAGTGACGAGTCTCCTGTTGATGTTTGAAAGATGACGTATACGAGCAGCCTGTTAGCTTCTCTTATCTACAAAAATCCTGAGCAGCTGATTGGCTGTGTGATGACGCTACACTCTCCACAGGACAACCCTGTGATGTCACACCAACCTGACCAGCTTTACCTCCCGCTCTCTCAGGTTAACCTCCTCTGATGATGCCACATCTGAACTGAATCCTGATTGGTCCCTCTGTCTTGATGACAGAAAAATAAACAGTTTCATTGTAACTAATCACTGCTGACCCTGGTTGATCACTTCCTGTCACCTGCCGTCAGCTGGCTCCACCCCTTAACCTGTTTGTTACATTAGAGAGAGAATCTGTCATCACTGATCTGAAGGATTTTTATTTTCTGAAACATTAAAAACAAACTGTGAGATTAAAACTATGACCAAAGTTCAGAGGAGCTCAAACCAGCTGCTGGGTAACTACACAGCATCTAACTGTGTGTGTGTGTGTGTGTGTGTGTGTTGTATTAGTTGTCATGGAAACATCATGATTGACATGCGGACTCCTCCTCCTCCCGGCGCCTTGCTCAAAGGCAACAGGAAGTGACAGTGTTAGTGACTGAAGGCCCCGAACAGAAAGAGGAAGCGAAGGCGTTGGGGGGAGGAGTTATGGTCAGTGTGTGTGTGGGGCGGCCACATCTCCCGGGGCTGATGGGAAATATTGCTCTCTGTTTATTTGAGGTCCAGCACCATGGTGGCTGGGTTCTCCAGGTACTCCCTCCACAGGTTGGAGAAGCGACACATGGTGGCGCCGTCAATGATCCGATGATCGGCCGACCAGCTGACGTTCATGATGTGAGCTCGGACCACCTGACCGACGGCGTCAAACCGAGGAAGAACCTGAGGACGAAACAAGGTTTAAAAACTGATCTTGAAAAGGTAATTTAATCTCATAAACATTAAGTGTTATTCACGATGATCAGAATGTGGTGTTCCCCAGGGCTCTATGCTCAGACCACCGCTTTTTGAACGTCACTTTATTCTCAGGCGATGCTCAATCAATCAATCTTTATTTGTATATCTCAGGTTTATGTTCCCACCCAGCTAACACCATCAGCTAACACCTTCAGCTAACACCTTCAGCTAACACCTTCAGCTAACACCTTCAGCTAACACCATCAGCTCACACCTTCAGCTAACACCATCAGCTAACACCTTCAGCTAACACCTTCAGCTAACACCTTCAGCTAACACCATCAGCTAACACCTTCAGCTAACACCATCAGCTCACACCTTCAGCTAACACCTTCAGCTAACACCATCAGCTCACACCTTCAGCTAACACCATCAGCTAACACCTTCAGCTAACACCTTCAGCTAACACCTTCAGCTAACACCTTCAGCTAACACCATCAGCTCACACCTTCAGCTAACACCATCAGCTAACACCTTCAGCTAACACCTTCAGCTAACACCTTCAGCTAACACCATCAGCTAACACCTTCAGCTCACACCATCAGCTAACACCTTCAGCTAACACCATCAGTTAACACCTTCAGCTAACACCTTCAGTTAACACCTTCAGCTCACACCATCAGCTAACACCATCAGCTAACACCATCAGCTAACACCTTCAGCTCACACCTTCAGCTAACACCATCAGTTAACACCATCAGTTAACACCTTCAGCTAACACCATCAGCTAACACCATCAGCTAACACCTTCAGCTCACACCATCAGCTAACACCTTCAGCTAACACCATCAGCTAACACCATCAGCTAACACCTTCAGCTAACACCTTCAGCTCACACCTTCAGCTAACACCTTCAGCTCACACCATCAGCTAACACCTTCAGCTAACACCATCAGCTAACACCATCAGCTAACACCTTCAGCTAACACCTTCAGTTAACACCTTCAGCTAACACCTTCAGCTAACACCATCAGCTAACACCATCAGCTAACACCATCAGCTAACACCTTCAGCTAACACCTTCAGCTCACACCTTCAGCTCACACCATCAGCTCACACCTTCAGCTAACACCATCAGCTAACACCATCAGCTAACACCTTCAGCTCACACCTTCAGCTAACACCTTCAGTTAACACCTTCAGCTAACACCTTCAGCTAACACCATCAGCTAACACCATCAGCTAACACCTTCAGCTAACACCTTCAGCTAACACCTTCAGCTCACACCATCAGCTAACACCTTCAGCTAACACCATCAGCTAACACCTTCAGCTAACACCTTCAGCTAACACCTTCAGCTCACACCATCAGTTAACACCTTCAGCTAACACCATCAGCTAACACCTTCAGCTCACACCATCAGTTAACACCTTCAGCTCACACCATCAGCTAACACCATCAGCTAACACCTTCAGCTAACACCATCAGCTAACACCTTTAGCTCACACCATCAGTTAACACCTTCAGCTCACACCATCAGCTCACACCATCAGCTAACACCATCAGTTAACACCTTCAGTTAACACCTTCAGCTAACACCTTCAGCTCACACCATCAGCTCACACCATCAGTTAACACCTTCAGTTAACACCATCAGCTAACACCATCAGCTAACACCTTCAGCTAACACCTTCAGCTAACACCTTCAGCTCACACCTTCAGCTAACACCATCAGCTAACACCATCAGCTAACACCTTCAGTTAACACCTTCAGCTAACACCATCAGCTAACACCATCAGCTAACACCTTCAGTTAACACCTTCAGTTAACACCTTCAGCTAACACCATCAGCTAACACCTTCAGCTAACACCTTCAGCTAACACCTTCAGCTAACACCATCAGCTAACACCATCAGCTAACACCATCAGCTCACACCATCAGTTAACACCTTCAGCTAACACCATCAGCTAACACCATCAGTTAACACCATCAGCTCACACCATCAGCTAACACCTTCAGTTAACACCTTCAGCTAACACCATCAGCTAACACCATCAGCTCACACCATCAGCTCACACCATCAGCTAACACCATCAGCTAACACCTTCAGCTAACACCTTCAGCTCACACCTTCAGCTCACACCATCAGCTCACACCTTCAGCTAACACCATCAGCTAACACCATCAGCTAACACCTTCAGCTCACACCTTCAGCTAACACCTTCAGCTAACACCTTCAGCTAACACCTTCAGCTAACACCATCAGCTAACACCATCAGCTAACACCTTCAGCTAACACCTTCAGCTAACACCTTCAGCTCACACCATCAGTTAACACCTTCAGCTAACACCATCAGCTAACACCTTCAGCTAACACCTTCAGCTAACACCTTCAGCTCACACCATCAGTTAACACCTTCAGCTAACACCATCAGCTAACACCTTCAGCTCACACCATCAGTTAACACCTTCAGCTCACACCATCAGCTAACACCATCAGCTAACACCTTCAGCTAACACCATCAGCTAACACCTTTAGCTCACACCATCAGTTAACACCTTCAGCTCACACCATCAGCTCACACCATCAGCTAACACCATCAGTTAACACCTTCAGTTAACACCTTCAGCTAACACCTTCAGCTCACACCATCAGCTCACACCATCAGTTAACACCTTCAGTTAACACCATCAGCTAACACCATCAGCTAACACCTTCAGCTAACACCTTCAGCTAACACCTTCAGCTCACACCTTCAGCTAACACCATCAGCTAACACCATCAGCTAACACCTTCAGCTAACACCTTCAGCTAACACCATCAGCTAACACCATCAGCTAACACCTTCAGTTAACACCTTCAGTTAACACCTTCAGCTAACACCATCAGCTAACACCTTCAGCTAACACCTTCAGCTAACACCTTCAGCTAACACCATCAGCTAACACCATCAGCTAACACCATCAGCTCACACCATCAGTTAACACCTTCAGCTAACACCATCAGCTAACACCATCAGTTAACACCATCAGCTCACACCATCAGCTAACACCTTCAGCTAACACCTTCAGCTAACACCATCAGCTAACACCATCAGCTCACACCATCAGCTCACACCATCAGCTAACACCATCAGCTAACACCATCAGCTAACACCTTCAGCTAACACCATCAGCTCACACCTTCAGCTCACACCATCAGCTAACACCATCAGCTAACACCATCAGCTAACACCTTCAGCTAACACCATCAGCTAACACCTTCAGCTAACACCTTCAGCTAACACCTTCAGCTAACACCATCAGTTAACACCTTCAGCTCACACCATCAGCTAACACCTTCAGCTAACACCTTCAGCTAACACCTTCAGCTAACACCATCAGTTAACACCTTCAGCTCACACCATCAGCTAACACCATCAGCTAACACCTTCAGCTAACACCTTCAGCTCACACCATCAGCTAACACCATCAGTTAACACCATCAGCTAACACCATCAGCTAACACCTTCAGCTAACACCTTCAGCTAACACCTTCAGCTAACACCTTCAGCTAACACCACCCAGCTAACACCATCAGCTCACACCATCAGCTCACACCATCAGCTAACACCTTCAGCTCACACCATCAGCTAACACCTTCAGCTAACACCATCAGCTCACACCTTCAGTTAACACCATCAGCTCACACCTTCAGTTAACACCACCCAGCTAACACCATCAGCTCACACCATCAGCTCACACCATCAGCTAACACCTTCAGCTCACACCATCAGCTAACACCTTCAGCTAACACCATCAGCTAACACCTTCAGTTAACACCATCAGCTAACACCATCAGCTAACACCTTCAGCTAACACCTTCAGCTAACACCTTCAGCTAACACCACCCAGCTAACACCATCAGCTCACACCATCAGCTCACACCATCAGCTAACACCTTCAGCTCACACCATCAGCTAACACCTTCAGCTAACACCATCAGCTACCACCATCAGCTAACACCTTCAGCTAACACCTTCAGCTAACACCATCAGCTAACACCTTCAGTTAACACCTTCAGCTAACACCTTCAGCTCACACCTTCAGTTAACACCATCAGCTCACACCTTCAGCTCACACCTTCAGTTAACACCTTCAGCTCACACCATCAGCTAACACCTTCAGCTCACACCATCAGCTAACACCATCAGCTAACACCTTCAGCTAACACCTTCAGCTCACACCATCAGCTAACACCTTCAGCTAACACCTTCAGCTAACACCTTCAGCTAACACCATCAGCTCACACCATCAGCTAACACCTTCAGCTAACACCTTCAGCTAACACCATCAGCTAACACCTTCAGCTAACACCTTCAGCTAACACCTTCAGCTAACACCTTCAGCTCACACCATCAGCTAACACCTTCAGCTCACACCATCAGCTAACACCTTCAGCTAACACCTTCAGCTAACACCTTCAGCTCACACCTTCAGCTCACACCTTCAGCTCACACCATCAGCTAACACCATCAGCTAACACCATCAGCTAACACCTTCAGCTAACACCTTCAGCTCACACCATCAGTTAACACCTTCAGCTAACACCTTCAGTTAACACCTTCAGCTAACACCATCAGCTAACACCATCAGCTAACACCTTCAGCTAACACCTTCAGCTAACACCATCAGCTAACACCATCAGCTAACACCTTCAGTTAACACCATCAGCTAACACCATCAGCTCACACCATCAGCTAACACCACCAGCTAACACCATCAGCTCACACCATCAGCTCACACCATCAGCTAACACCTTCAGCTAACACCTTCAGCTAACACCACCCAGCTAACACCATCAGCTCACACCATCAGCTAACACCATCAGCTAACACCTTCAGCTCACACCATCAGCTAACACCACCCAGCTAACACCATCAGCTAACACCATCAGCTAACACCATCAGCTAACACCTTCAGCTAACACCATCAGCTAACACCATCAGCTAACACCTTCAGCTAACACCATCAGCTAACACCTTCAGCTAACACCATCAGCTAACACCATCAGCTAACACCTTCAGCTAACACCATCAGCTAACACCTTCAGCTAACACCATCAGCTAACACCATCAGCTAACACCTTCAGCTAACACCTTCAGCTAACACCTTCAGCTAACACCATCAGCTCACACCATCAGCTAACACCTTCAGCTAACACCATCAGCTAACACCATCAGCTAACACCTTCAGCTCACACCATCAGCTCACACCTTCAGTTAACACCTTCAGCTCACACCATCAGCTCACACCTTCAGTTAACACCTTCAGCTAACACCATCAGCTAACACCATCAGCTAACACCATCAGCTAACACCTTCAGCTCACACCATCAGCTCACACCATCAGCTAACACCTTCAGCTCACACCATCAGCTCACACCTTCAGTTAACACCTTCAGCTAACACCATCAGCTAACACCATCAGCTAACACCTTCAGCTCACACCATCAGCTAACACCTTCAGTTAACACCTTCAGCTCACACCATCAGCTCACACCTTCAGCTCACACCATCAGTTAACACCTTCAGCTAACACCATCAGCTAACACCATCAGTTAACACCTTCAGCTCACACCATCAGCTAACACCTTCAGTTAACACCTTCAGCTAACACCATCAGCTAACACCTTCAGCTCACACCATCAGCTAACACACCCAGCTAACACCATCAGCTCACACCATCAGCTAACACCATCAGCTAACACCTTCAGCTCACACCATCAGCTAACACCTTCAGCTCACACCATCAGCTAACACCTTCAGCTAACACCATCAGTTAACACCATCAGCTAACACCATCAGCTAACACCTTCAGCTAACACCATCAGCTAACACCTTCAGTTAACACCTTCAGCTCACACCTTCAGCTCACACCTTCAGTTAACACCTTCAGCTCACACCATCAGCTAACACCTTCAGCTCACACCTTCAGTTAACACCTTCAGCTCACACCATCAGCTAACACCATCAGCTAACACCTTCAGCTCACACCATCAGCTAACACCTTCAGCTAACACCATCAGCTAACACCATCAGCTAACACCTTCAGCTCACACCATCAGCTCACACCTTCAGCTCACACCATCAGCTAACACCTTCAGCTAACACCTTCAGCTAACACCATCAGCTCACACCATCAGCTAACACCTTCAGCTAACACCATCAGCTAACACCATCAGCTAACACCTTCAGCTAACACCTTCAGCTCACACCATCAGCTAACACCTTCAGCTAACACCTTCAGCTAACACCATCAGCTCACACCATCAGCTAACACCATCAGCTAACACCATCAGCTAACACCATCAGCTCACACCATCAGCTAACACCTTCAGCTAACACCTTCAGCTCACACCATCAGCTCACACCTTCAGTTAACACCTTCAGCTCACACCTTCAGCTCACACCATCAGCTAACACCTTCAGTTAACACCTTCAGCTAACACCTTCAGCTAACACCATCAGCTCACACCATCAGCTCACACCTTCAGCTCACACCATCAGCTAACACCATCAGCTAACACCTTCAGCTCACACCATCAGTTAACACCTTCAGCTAACACCATCAGCTCACACCTTCAGCTAACACCTTCAGCTAACACCATCAGCTCACACCATCAGCTCACACCATCAGCTCACACCATCAGCTAACACCTTCAGCTAACACCTTCAGCTAACACCATCAGTTAACACCTTCAGCTAACACCATCAGCTCACACCTTCAGTTAACACCTTCAGCTAACACCATCAGCTCACACCATCAGCTCACACCTTCAGCTAACACCATCAGCTAACACCATCAGCTAACACCTTCAGCTAACACCTTCAGCTAACACCATCAGCTCACACCATCAGCTCACACCTTCAGCTAACACCATCAGCTCACACCTTCAGCTCACACCTTCAGCTAACACCTTCAGCTCACACCTTCAGCTAACACCATCAGCTAACACCATCAGCTCACACCTTCAGCTCACACCATCAGCTAACACCATCAGCTCACACCTTCAGCTAACACCATCAGCTCACACCTTCAGCTAACACCATCAGCTAACACCTTCAGCTAACACCATCAGCTCACACCTTCAGCTAACACCATCAGCTAACACCTTCAGCTAACACCATCAGCTAACACCTTCAGCTAACACCATCAGCTAACACCTTCAGCTAACACCATCAGCTAACACCTTCAGCTAACACCATCAGCTCACACCTTCAGCTAACACCATCAGCTAACACCATCAGCTAACACCATCAGCTCACACCATCAGCTAACACCATCAGCTAACACCATCAGCTAACACCATCAGCTCACACCATCAGCTAACACCATCAGCTCACACCATCAGCTAACACCATCAGCTAACACCATCAGCTCACACCTTCAGCTAACACCATCAGCTAACACCATCAGCTAACACCTTCAGCTCACACCATCAGCTAACACCATCAGCTAACACCATCAGCTAACACCATCAGCTCACACCATCAGCTCACACCTTCAGCTAACACCATCAGCTAACACCATCAGCTAACACCATCAGCTCACACCATCAGCTAACACCATCAGCTAACACCATCAGCTAACACCATCAGCTCACACCATCAGCTAACACCATCAGCTCACACCATCAGCTAACACCATCAGCTCACACCATCAGCTCACACCTTCAGCTAACACCATCAGCTAACACCATCAGCTCACACCATCAGCTAACACCATCAGCTAACACCATCAGCTAACACCATCAGCTCACACCATCAGCTAACACCATCAGCTCACACCATCAGCTAACACCATCAGCTAACACCATCAGCTCACACCTTCAGCTCACACCATCAGCTCACACCATCAGCTAACACCATCAGCTCACACCTTCAGCTCACACCTTCAGCTAACACCATCAGCTCACACCTTCAGCTAACACCATCAGCTAACACCATCAGCTAACACCATCAGCTCACACCATCAGCTCACACCATCAGCTAACACCATCAGCTAACACCATCAGCTCACACCATCAGCTAACACCATCAGCTCACACCATCAGCTAACACCATCAGCTAACACCATCAGCTCACACCATCAGCTAACACCTTCAGCTAACACCATCAGCTAACACCATCAGCTCACACCATCAGCTAACACTCAGTTTAACTCGAGATGGTGCAGTGCCGACGCGTCTCGTCTCATCCTGATTGGATGACATGCAGAGGGTTCATAACACTATCTCTCGTTCTAATTCTTGTCTTATTTTTGTGCCTTTAATTGAGCGATAGGACAGTGGGAAAGGAGCCACAGGCTGGACTCAAACCTGGGCCGCTCGCTTGGAAGACTATAACCTCCATACATGGGGCGCATGCGCACTAACCACTGCGCCCCAGTTTGGGGGTTTTCTAACGGCCTGATGAACCTTGTATTCCAGGTACCTGGAAAAGTTCTCACCTGGATTTTTCCCAGAGCTCCGATTGCGACTTCAGGAGGCAGAATGACGGGTTTAGCGTACGTCCCTCCAATCTGGATCACAAACAACAAGCAGTTTAAAGTCAGGACTTCATGCTCTTGGTTCAGTCGATGTTTGTGTTGTTGTTGGACTCACTGATCCGATGTTGGACAGGGTGAAGGTCCCCCCGCTCAGCTCGTTGGTCCCCAGCTGACCTGCGGCGCCGAGTGTCTGCAGACGGTTTAACTCGAGAGCGATGTCGAACACGCTGAGTAGCTGAACGTTCTTCACGTTTGGAACCAGCAGACCCTGAATCGTGTCCATCGCCAGGCCGATGTTATGAGACGCCTGCAACAAAGGAAACATCAGCAACATCAGGTCTACAGCAACATCAGGTCTACAGCAACATCAGGTCTACATCAACATCAGGTCTACATCAACATCAGGACTACAGCAACATCAGGACTACAGCAACATCAGGTCTACAGCAACATCAGGTCTACAGCAACATCAGGTCTACAGCAACATCAGGACTACAGCAACATCAGGTCTACAGCAACATCAGGTCTACAGCAACATCAGGACTACATCAACATCAGGACTACAGCAACATCAGGACTACAGCAACATCAGGTCTACATCAACATCAGGACTACAGCAACATCAGGTCTACATCAACATCAGGACTACAGCAACATCAGGTCTACAGCAACATCAGGACTACATCAACATCAGGACTACAGCAACATCAGGTCTACAGCAACATCAGGTCTACAGCAACATCAGGACTACATCAACATCAGGACTACAGCAACATCAGGACTACAGCAACATCAGGTCTACATCAACATCAGGACTACAGCAACATCAGGTCTACATCAACATCAGGACTACAGCAACATCAGGTCTACATCAACATCAGGACTACAGCAACATCAGGTCTACATCAACATCAGGACTACAGCAACATCAGGTCTACAGCAACATCAGGACTACAGCAACATCAGGTCTACAGCAACATCAGGTCTACAGCAACATCAGGACTACAGCAACATCAGGATTACAGCAACATCAGGACTACATCAACATCAGGACTACAGCAACATCAGGTCTACAGGATCATCAGGACTACAGGAACAGGTGGACACGGGGACTTAGACATTTTTTACCTTTTGCCTAAAAACAATTAATTATCCAGTTCTGGTGTCTAGGACTTCTATTTGTGTTGCAATGTAACAAATTGATATTAATAGGTTGATTTGATGAATCATATTCATGTTTAATAATCTGGTATCCTCACCTTGTACGTGATGTTCTGGCAGCCTTCGTCCACCGAGGCGTTCAGGATTGGAAAGTGCAGGAGGCCAATGGAGGCGGCCTGGACCAATGAGAGCTCAGTGTTAAGGTCAAGTAACCAATCAGCTTTGACATGAAGGTGTCCATCAGCTGTTCAGAGTCTCACCTTGATGAAGAAGGGCATGTAGCTCAGTTTGATCCCCCGGGACTCGGCCATGGACTTGAGCTCTGCTCTCAGAGTGACCAGGCGGCTCAGGTCCACCTCGTCACAGTACCCGAAGTGAGGAATCTTCAGCGCCGCCGTCATCGTCTTCACCATCGCTTTGTGGAAACCTGGAGACCACAGAACACACATCACCTGATCTGTTCATACCTTTCACCTGGAGCCCTAAAACGGTAAACTTCCTGTTAGGTCATCCACAGGTGTTCAAGCTACGATAAATAAACGCACCTTTCAGTGGCTCTGTCACGTCCTTTCCAGTGAAGACAGGTTTGGGTGTTGTGGGTGGAGCTTTGACGGCGACTGGAGTGCTTACAGGCCTAGCAACAGAAGCTGCTTGGGGCGTGGCCGGGGGCGGAGTCTGGATCTCCTGGAATAAGGTCGGAGGTATGATGGCTCCGGTCTGCCTTGCCAGGAAGTTCAGGATGTCCTCCTTCAGGATCCGACCATCTTTCCCCGTGCCCACCACCTCACTGAGCTTTATCTGAGGGGACGCACCAGACACACCCGTTTCACCTGACACACCTGTATCACCTGACACACCTGTATCACCTGACACACCTGTATCACCTGTTACACCTGTATCACCTGACACACCAGACACACCCGTTACACCAGACACACTTGTTACACCTGACACACCTGTTTCACCTGACACACCTGTATCACCAGACACACCCGTTTCACCTGTTACACCTGTATCACCTGACACACCAGACACACCCGTTACACCAGACACACCTGTTCACCTGACACACCTGTATCACCTGACACACCCGTTTCACCTGTATCACCTGACACACTAGACACACCCGTTTCACCTGACACACCTGTACCACCTGACACACCTGTTACACCTGTATCACCAGACACACCCGTTTCACCTGTTACACCTGTATCACCTGAAACACCAGACACACCCGTTACACCTGACACACCAGTTACACCTGACACACCAGTTACACCTGACACACCTGTATCACCTGACACACCTGTTACACCAGACACACCTGTATCACCAGACACACCCATTTCACCTGTTACACCTGTATCACCTGAAACACCAGACACACCCGTTACACCTGACACACCTGTACCACCTGTTACACCAGTTACACCTGACACACCTGAATCACCTGACACACCCGTTACACCTGACACACCCGTTTCACCTGTTACACCTGTTTCACCTGACACACCTGTATCACCTGACACACCAGTTACACCTGACACACCTGTATCACCTGACACACCTGTTATACCTGACACACCTGTACCACCTGACACACCTGTACCACCTGACACACCTGACACACCAGTTACACCTGTACCACCTGACACACCAGTTACACCTGTATCACCTGACACACCAGTTACACCTGACACACCTGACACACCTGTTATACCTGGTACAGGTTTTACTGGGACACTGGAGTCACACTTACGTTGTTCTCCATGGCGAGGCGTCTGACGGCGGGCGTGGCCTGGGTCTTGTGACCTTTGATCTCCTGGTGGGTGTGTTCTTCTTGGGCCATGGCGGGCGTCTCCACCACGTCCTCCTCCTGGATCACCTCTGGAGAACAGGTAGGCTTTCAGTCTGGATCAAACAGAACAACAGATCACCTGGTTCAGGTGAACATGTCTCACCTGAGCTGGACTCCGTCTCGATGTCGACCAGCGGCTTGCCCACGAGGGCGATGGCGTCCACGTCGTAGTAGAGTTTCTTGATGACCCCGTCGTAACGGCTGGTGATGGTGACGGACGCCTTGTCGCTCTGAACCTCACAGATGCTGTCGAACTGAGAAACCTTATCTCCCTCCTTCACGTACCTGCAAACGACCCCGACAGCTTCAGAAACGAACACGAGAGGACACACGCCATACATCTCTCTGGCCCTGCCCACAACTCTGTGTGTGTGTCTGTGTGTGTGTGTGTGTGTGTGTGTGTGTGTGTGTGTGTGTGTGTGTGTGTGTGTGTGTGTGTGTGTGTGTGTGTGTGTGTGTGTGTGTGTGTGTGTGTGTGTGTGTGTGTGTACGTACCACTCCTTCACCGTCACCTCCATGATTCCTTCCCCGATGTCGGACAGTTTGAACTGGACGATCGGTCCTCGGCTCACTGAAGCAGAAACACATCGATGACATCACAACACCTGAAAACTTTTAAAGATATATGTATATTATATATGTATATTTTATATTTGTGGATTTCTATATAAACTATAAATATTTGTGTGTGCATTGAAATACATTTGTGAATCTTATTTTTTTATTTGTGGATTTGTTATAGAATGTATTTGTGAATTCGTCTGTGTGAATATTGAGACTGATCTAACCCCATAGTTCTCTGACCGCTCTCTGGTCTGACTTTAAGTTTAGATCCTCTGTACTGGTCCAGGTCCAGATTCTCTCCTGCAGGTGTGGACTTACCTGTGGCGGTGTGCAGCGTCCTGAACGTCAGCATGTTTCTGTCACACCTGAAGACGAGCGGCTGAACGCTTCTGTCATACCTGAAGGACTGCAGCCGGAAACATCTCCGCCGATACTGCTGGCTGAGCTGACAGGAAGACAACAAGGGGGGGGGGGGGGGGGGGGTTAGGGTCTCATCTCACTGTGTCTTTAGCGTGCAGCGTACGTCTAACCATGAGCTCGGACTGGACCTGGATAATTAGCTTTTCAAATATTCGCTCGTCAGGTAGACCATCGTTTATTAATTTTGGGATCGAATATTCCTTTTCTTATGGGTACCTGATATTCCTATCGTCACAGCGGTCAGTGAACGTCACACTTCAGCTCACCGTGGCCGTTAAAGAGAAGACAAAGAGCGATAAAGACATACTGCTGATCCATCTTTAAATACGTCTCAGGTAAACTTACAGAGTTGTAGCGAGA